TCCCACTCCTAAGTTTTCATTTGAAATCAAAAGGATGGATTCAAATGGGATTCAAGTTCTTTGACCTTCAAAGTTCACAATGAATGGTTTGGTCTCTGTCATAGAAGAAAAGTGGAGTGGACACCACAATGCCTGTCCTCTGGCAGGCAAAATATCCACCAAAGATCATCCACCCTTTTAACAGTTGAATGTCCTTTTCACCCAATTCTCTGACCTCCCTCTTCTCTTCCTATCTTCTCTCTCTTTCAAAAGTAAAAGCTGCTAGCTAGATTTCTTTTCCTCTTCCTTATTTTCAGTTTTTTCATTTCCTGCATTTATAAAAGAGAGAGAAAAAAAGAGAGAGAAAAAAAATTAATACCAAGAAAGAATTTAAATGAGTAGTGCTAGTAAATTGCCCAAAGGTAAAGAGCAAAAAGAGTAACTTGTATGACCAACTGCATTATGAAAAACTCTTAAAATAGAAGATGAAGAAACCAAAATGAAGGAGCACAAAACCCGATGCGTATTAACCCATAACTTTCAACTATTAAAGAGCTCAAGGGGAATAAGAAAAGGAAACACTACATCACACGATGAAACGCAAACTCATACATCATATCTAATTAAAAAGAACAAAATAGATATGCCACATAACTCAAATATAATACAGACATGTGACACAACTCAAACACAATACAAACATGTTAACATAATAATTTTTATTTTATTTTACTTTTAAATGCAAGATTCAACATGTGAGAATATATGCAAAATATATAATTTTATATAATTATATTATTTATCATACATATGGATATTTCATTCACAAATAATAAAAAATGAAATATGACACTATTTTCTTTAATTATCGTGTCCATTAAGTTATTTTATTCGTACTTATAATGTGTTCGTGTATTTAAACAATGAACATGTGTATCCTCTAAGTGTAGCATCTCTGAGTATTAAAAAAAAATGACATCTTTAAATGTGTATCCAGTGTGTTATGTGAACTGTCTAATGAGTACAAGTAGAGCTAGCATAGGGTTATTCGAACCGCACAACCCGTCTAACCCGAATCGATCCGCATATAAATGGACGGTTTCGCAGACACAATGCAAGTAGATACGGTTTGAAATATAATATGATTGCGGACTGTGAGTTTAACCCGCACCCGTAAGAACCCACCCACACTTAGATTTTTTTTTTTTTCTTTTTTTATAGGAAAATCCTCCCTACCCTCCCGTAGGTCCAAGGTAACGCCCCTTGCAGAGATCACCATGGTCCTGTTAGCCGTTCCGAGCGAGGAGACTATAACTTGGAAATTTGTCCCGACCTCCCAAGACAAGCTCCGCTGAAGTCAGGACTCACACAGCGGGGGAGTATTGACCTGGGAATTTGCCCTGACCTCCAAGACAAGCTCTGCTTAAGTCAGGACTCACACAGTGGGGGAGTATTGAACCCATACCAAATGCTGATTAGACAACTTGAGGTCCAACCTCAGCGGGGAAGTATTGAACCCACACCAAGTGCTGATTAGACAACTTGAGGTCCAACCTCCTAACCAACTGTACTTCGCCCAGGAGATTGACCCAGGGGGGAGGGAATTGAACATGTGACCTTCGGGTTTAAACCCCGAGCCTTAACCATAATCCCACCCACTCCTGGGTTGACCGTTGTTATTTTATTATTACATTTTAGATTAATGTAAAAGTTAATAAAGAATTACTTTTAGGTAAACTTAGAATTTTGAATGATTTTACTTTAATTGTATTGTTAAGTAGTAGATAGTAAATGAGATTGATGATCTAGTTTAGGATTTTGAAAGATGTGTTTGTGTTAGTTTATGATTTGATTTAAAAGTTTAGGATTTTGAATGATTTATTTGTGTTAAGAATTGATTTTGTTATGTTTTAAATTTTATAAATTTTAATTCATTAATTATTAATGTTGGAGCATTTTATAAAATGAGGAGAAAATAGTCCAAAATAAATATTGACAAAATGGGGAGAAAAAAAAAAAGCTCAAAAATAAATTTTTAAAGAAAAAAATCCACCCGGCAAAACCGCCCGCAACCGCATGCACATCCGTGAACCCTATCCTCACAAACCTCAACTCACATTGTAAGCGGTTGCGGGTTGAATTTTTCCCAAACCGCATACATGCAACCGGTCCAAACCGATCCAAAAACCGTTCAAAACCAAACCACAACCACCCTTAAGTACAAGTTTAAGTATCCAATACAGACGCACCATCTTCTTAAAAGTATTCATACATGGGCACCCAAAATCATCCACAATATCAACCCCATGGCCCCATGATCTCAACCACAGAAAATTTACAAAACTCGTAAAATCTTTTGAAATATGAGAGCAAGATGTTGAGCTTTCCTCTATTTTTTTGAAAGAATTCTTTTGATCCATTCTTATGTTTTAAAGTTGGTTGGGAACACGACTGAACCTATAATCAGTCCGGACAATTAGGTGTGCACGTCTTTATCCACAATGCTCCCTCTTTAAAGAATTTGTTCCAGAATCCCCCAGTGAACAGTACACATCAGCTTAATTTGATTATTGCTAGCAATTGACACTTGAGCAAGTGCCTGGCATGGCAGTGTGGGAAACCACTTAATGTGTTATTTGAAAATAAAATAAAGGGGAAATTACAGATCAGTTGTAAGATAAAAAAAATAAAATAAAATACTTATAAAGTCATGACATAGTTTATCACTTCAATTATTAAAGTAGACAAGTTTTACAATTAATTTGAAATTTATTTTGGAAACATGTGCTGAATTACAATTTCTCCTAAAATAAACAAGCAGGTTTATTTTTTTTAGTCCATTTGGTCCCCCCAAAGATGACCCTTACCCTTCAATGGGGAATTTTCAAGTTTCAGCCCATGCCCTTCCATAACCAAGATGTCACTACAAATTCCAGAGAGAATTACAAAGGAGCGGAACCATTCTACCAGAACTCCTCAACTTTAAAGCAGATAACTGTACATCCATTTAGAGTAATCCAGGAGACCATAGATTCGAGTCCTAATATTTTACTTCATCCAATTTATGAGGCTAGCGAGCACACACATCTTAAGTATACACTCCTGGGTGGGTCCAAAGGACCATACCTAAGATCGGTTCTTGGTTATCAACATATATACATATTAGAGTATGCCCGTACTTTCAAGCACAGTGTAAATAATATTAAAATTAAAATATAATTATAATCCCAACACTATTTAAATTTTTTTTAATCTGATAAAATTACAAATTTATTATAAAATTTTGGAATTCTCAAAAAATTCCTAGTGGGACATGTAGGATAAATTCAAAAACAATCTTATTTTCTTATATAGATATTAAAGATTCATATGAGGTTTAAATTTACGAAGTCTATCAGGTATTTAATATATTTAAAAATAATAATTAATTGTTCAAATTCATTTAATTTGTGGACTAAAAAATTCATATAATCTCCATTACACAATAAAATCTGGCTCATAATTTTGGGATCGCAGAGTTTTTCATATAATATGAATAAAAATAAGTGGACAAAAAGAACAAAATAAAAAAAAATAAACAAATAGAGAAAAAAAAATAAAAATGAGAGAAAATAAAAAAAATAAAAAGAAAAGAGAAAAAAAATGTGAGATTATAAGATCATAGAAGGATGGGATAGAAAAGGAAAAAGTAAGAGAGAGAAGCGGAAAATTAAAAATTTACATGTAAGATATTTTTTGAAAAATATATCTCAGTCATTGTTTTATAATTTGAATAGATCTGAGCCGTCCAAATATCAAATGTATGTAGAATAAATTCAAAAACTATCCTATTTTATTATATAGATATATACAAAGTAAAAATAAAAAGAAACACATATAGAAGCACTTATCTATTGACGAAGAGTAATGCTAAACCTATTAAACAACAGCTCCAATATTTATACCGACCATGATACACCAATAACTTCACCTCTTAAATTAAATTGTAGTGACTGCTATCTTCCATTAAAGTCAAAGACACTAGGATCTTAATAAATTTTTTCATGAGGTCAATTTAGGAAATGTCAAGGGGCTTGAACTGACGTGTCAGCCCATGCAAACTGCCACATGCTCAGGTGTATTTCTCGCTTCAAAAGGCCAAGGTACATTTTTCCAGCTAAGATGGAAAGCAAACAAATTAATTTTCTACCGTAGACTAAGACAACAGGACCTCCTTTTCAGGCTATGGACATGTCTTTGGGCACCACAATGATATAGGATACCCTCCCCAATGACCATAAGCCCCAAGGGCCCAAAAATTGACCCTTTGGCATATTCTAATCTACCCAACAAATTTATATGGTAGACCCATATGTACAAGTACTTCTAGGTAAGGTGCAAGATTTATCATGCATGTAGTGGGTGTATATAGAAATTAAATGGATGTACTTCTAGGGATGTTTTCACAAATGACTACAAAGCCCTCATTCTTTTCTAAGAATCAGTGTCGGTAGGCCGACAAGGTGGGTTTCTTCCCCACATCATCCCTCAAAATTTCTGATTAACAATTACAGCAACAGAAAATTCTAATGTACACATTCTTTCATGCTGCGTTTGGTTGGGAGATTTAGAGAGAAATTTAAAAAAGAAAAGAGAAAAGATATGTAAAACTAGATGAAATAAAAATATATTTTATTAACATTTCACCTACCTTTTTCATTTCTCTTTTCAAATCCTTATTTAAATCCTCCAACCAAACACAACATAAAGGGGTGTACTATATGCACCTCTAGTTATGTTATTTTATTTTTTAATTATGCTATTATTTTAGTTATGCCTCATGTTGTATTTAGTTACGATAATTTTTTTTTAAATTATGACTCAAAAAATATTAAGTTATACTATTTTTTTTTTTTTAATTATAAGGTGTATATAATACACATCATAGTGTTTTCCTACAACAACAACCTGCTGTCACTGAGTTTCAACTAAAAAATGACAACACAAGCCCACGGGTACAAGCAGACAATACCAACATCCTGTGATTATGATTCATGAAATCCATATATGCAAAAGTATATAAAGAGATTACATAAAGAAAAATAAAAAGATATCGGTTACATGAGTTGTTACAATTATAAAAATTGAGCTGGGGCCAATTTGATATGAGCAAAGCTTAAGTTAGATGTGATGAGTGATAAAGATCATGTAATGTGACAATACCAATCAATGCACGGAACTATATAGAAACAGGATTAAAACAAAAGCATACCATTTTTTTGTTTTTTTGTATTTTTCTGTTGAGAATTGTCTAGGTGGATCCAGGGGTGGTGGCTTGCTTGAATGCAACAGTGGGAGCTATTCTGCAACTCCTCCTCTGATGCTCCAGCACAAGCTCTCCAGCAAACCAATCAAGTTTATCGAAATTGCTCTGTTCTGCAATTCGCTTACCACCAAAGAGCACAGATTCAACATTCTTCTGCTTCAGCATTTCGTCGGCTATTCCCATGAGCATCTTTACGTTGCCGGAGCTGGGGTCTGAGTCAACATTAGGCCCGCAACGTCCCAAGGTGGATCCATTTGCCTGTCATGCAAAACCGGAGACAAAAAATGTACTTAGAGGACACACGAGCCATCCAATTAGCCACTTAAAAGCAGTTCCTATTAAATTGACATGCTACAGTAGTGTTAAAGGCTCAACAAACCAGGTCGACTTAGAAGCCCTGGGGAATCATAACTCAATCAACTCAAAACAATTAAAAGAAATTGTAACGATATACCACTGCGCACCACAAAAAACTAAAGCCTAGGAGAGTTGTCAAAATTGCACGGTATTGCCATTGGTGAATTCACTTAGTTCTTGAGAAATAGGCTGAAAAAGATATGGCTTAAAACTAACTTCAAATAAAAAATTCAGGTAAATTACTCCATGAAACTTTGATAAAAATTATCCTCCTCCTTTACCATTAAGAGGTTGTCATTTTCCAATATTATACTTCATCCTATTCTTTGCTAGTTTTCCCTCTATAGTGAGATTTCTACATGGTAATTTTATTTATTTGTTATTCTAATGCCTCATTTAGGAACATATTATTTCAATAATTTTTTAGCTTTTTACGAAAAGATATACAAAAAAGTAAAGAAAGTGATCTGACAACTTATAGTGATTTTTTAACTAAACTATATAGTTGACAAACGAGACTTATTATTTCATAAATTGGAGGGGACAAGTGTGTGGGTCTGAACATTTGGCAGTGTTTGGTGTGAAAATCTCTCTGCCTCAAGTTCTTTTACTACATTGGAAATAATGCATCCAGCATATAGAGATGACAAGGCTAATAAAATCTCTGAAATGCTATGAGAGAGAAACTGCCCTTTTATTAGGTTCAGTGGAAAAGGGTGGACCATATCAAAAAATGGTAGAAATCCCCCCACCTTTTTTCACAAGTTTAGTTGCCTAACATAAGGTAGTGAAAGAATAGCAAAGCCAGAAACCAGAGTTGCCTTTCCCTTTTGATGGTTATATACAAACATCCGACCGGAGTTCTAAAATCAGTATCATCAAGCCTTCCAGTTTAGTAAATCTGTTTTATGGGTATTTCAGCTGTTAGAAAATGTAAGCCCCAATTTTCCAAGCTTGACTATAGATACAACACATCATATTCATTTCAAAATACAATCCCAAAAAAAAAAAAAAATCTCCGAAAACTACAATCAACATACATACAAAAATAAAAACAAAAAACATGGTCTGATTTGACCATTTTAATAACATTAAAAAAGAAAGGAATTTCTAACAAAGATCAAGTTGTTAGATTCTTGACATAATGGATTTTATCCCCACGTTCATCTATCACTTTACTTCGTTCAATCAAGCTTTTAACATAGTTCCTTAGCAAAACAACAATACTTCACAAATTAAAAACTAATGGTGAAAAGTCAAAGGGATAATTTTTTTTTTTTTTTGTAGTATTATCATGCAAACTTATAAAGAGGGTAGTTAGGTTTAACAAACTTACGCAACCCGTGTAAACACAAAAAACAAGAACAATTTTGTTCATGTTTGTCACTTTCTGAAATGACTCTTTCACCAGAGTCCATTACTCTAGACGACTAGTCATTAAAATAATACTTAATTAGAAAAATGTCAATTTCTAATTATTATGGTGAACCCCAATCACAAAATTAATATAAAAAAAAAAATGGATAGTTCACATCCAAACAGAGGTAGACAAAATAGGAATCATAAAAACATAAAAAATTAGATTAGTAATTTGTAATTTGCAAACACCACATGAATCATGAGATTGTTAATCCAATGTCATGGTATTACTCATTTACACCGTACCAAATCAGGCAAAAAATCAAATTTTGCAGGAAGTAGTTTAGGGGGAACAACAGGACTGGTCATAAGTCCCAAACAAACCAAAATTCGTTGGTTGAGTACCCAATGCATCACAAGGAACGCCATTACTCTTATTGGCTTAGCCTACCTGCCTGCGTACTTTTCCAGTCATCATCTTCTAGTGGTAGTGCGTGTCTGCCCAACACACACCCCACAAAAAAACTCCCGAACCCAATAACCCCTCTGCCAATCGATTGGAGATTTAAAAAAAAAAAAAAGAAAGAAGATCCTCTAGAGTTTTTTTTTTCCTAGAGTGATGTGTTGTATGGTTGAGATTTAATGACAAGTCACATCATTTTTTAGCATTAAATCTCACCCATACAACACACCACTTTAAGAAATTTAAAAAAAAAAACTCTAGCACTATGTTTGGTAATTTAGGAGAAAAAAAAAAAGAAATGATTACTTAAGTAATAAGAGAAAAGAAAAGAAAAGAAATGATTATGATTATGATTTCTCTCATTTTTGTTTGGATAAAGAAGAAATAAAAGAAATGAAATGATTGTGATTTCTCTCATTCTTGTTTGGTTAGGTTTCATTAAGAGAAAATAAAAGAAATTATTTTATGTTATATTACCAAAATAACCTTTTTATATTTTCAATCATTTTATTTCTTTTATTTTTATAGGGACAAAATAGGTATTATGAAAATAGTAGTTTCATTTCTCTCCCAATCTCTCCACTTTTGGGAAGATTGAAAATGAGCCTCATAAGATAAATGAGTTTCTCTCCATTTCTTCCCATTTCTCTCTACTTAGATTATCCAAACAAATAAGAGAAATGCATATCATTCCATTTCTTTTCTTTTCTCTTCAAATCACTCAATCCAAACATAGTGTAGAAGATCCTTGGTGCTCCAGTTCGCCCTACCACCAATGCAAAAAAGACAAAAACTCTCCTCAATTCGTCTTTAGCAGGCACCAGCCTGGCTACCGCTGTCTCATGCACTCCAAACCAAAGTGGCAAAACAAAACCCAAACGTCGTCCCCAATGGAAATAAAGCCACTACTCATAAATGTATCATGTTACCTATATGATACAATAATGTTAAGAGACTATAAGAGAATGACCAAAAAAATTTCATAAATGTCCGAGATATTTGTTAGAATTTTTGATCAATCAGTAGAGTGTCTGGCATTTCTCCATATGATACGATAGTATGATATATCTATTTATTAAATGTATTCGGCGCATTTTAGAGGAAGGGGCGTACGTACCTGGATGCGGACGTAGTTACTGCTACGGCTTTGACCGAACGCCATCGACACGGCGTGGTCCACCAAGTCCGCTGAGCCGTCGCTGGAGATACGAGCCATGGGTCGAGCCCAGTCCTTGGCCTTCCAGCGCTTGACTTGCTCGTAGTCGTAGCTTCCTTCAAGTAGCTGACCGGTTCCTAGTGAAAGTACCAAAATGTCCTCCACTCCTCGCACGAACGGGAACTCCTGCTTGTTGTGTAGCACGTGCGTGATTGCCGCCGCCGTTGGGTTGCTCATCGCCAATCCCCCGTCGACCGCTAAGCACAGGGTCTGCCCATCCACCGAACTCATCGAAACCGGTTCAAACACTGCCGGTTCAGCCGATGTAGCCCGGCAAACCTCCCAGAGCCGGAAGTCGAAGCTGTCTGTTTCCAAAGCATCGGCTCGCGAGAACACAAAGGAAGCCGAGCTAGAGAGATCGTAACAGGGTATCAGAACCGGCTTCAATGTGTCTTTCAACGTCAAACTCCTTCCGCTGTCTATAAACACCTCTTTCATCGATTTTTCCAGACCGGCCGTCGATGAACCGGTGGCGCTGCCTGAACGGCTGCGTAAAATTTTCTTGATAATTTTCCCACCGCCGGAACCTGAACCGGAGGATGAACGGTAAAATTTCTTTCCTTGCGTAGCCAGAAACTTCCACGTGTCCTCCGCTTGGAAAATCGGACGGCTGTGGTCTTTGGTGCCGAAGAGCATCGCCGTGAAAATTCCTCCGACGCCGGCGCCGGCTGCGACGTCGAAGTAATCGGCGATTCTGGCATCTGGATTCCCCGATTTTGTCCTCAGAGCATTTTCGAGGTAGGCTAGGGCTTTTCCTGATAGAATGCTTCGCATTCCACCACCGTCAATGCTGAGTATGCAGATTTTGCCCCTCTGGTTCTTGATTGATTGGACTCCGTTATCGGTTGTCGTCGGAGTCGATAGTCCAGACTTCGGTTCCGTCTCCGGAGGAATCGGCTTCGGAATCCACAGCTTCTGGTCGTCGTAGCCGAAGAGGAATTTGCTTTCGAGGATTGAGAAAATCTCGTAGCTGAGCTTATCGGTGTCGATGCTCGGCTCTTGCATTTCGGATTGGTTACAAGCCATTTCTCAGCACAATCTTCTTCAACAAAAGTGCTTAAGGATTTTCCGAAGCGTTTTCGTATGGTCCTCCTTCCTTCAATGCATGAGGCTTTAATGGCTAATAATGCATTTGCATTAATTTCAGATACAAATAGCTTTCTTCATCAAGTGATTGTAAAGATTTTGTCCTAATCTTTCTTTATACAATCTATTGATTGTTTTCACCAGATATATACACCACCACCCTATACATACATATATACTTGTTGTCCCTATGGGGAATATATCTATATTACTCAATTTGGTATTAAAAAAAAAAGAAAAGAAAAAAAGCTTTACCTCGAAACTACTCCTGTCGATTAAATTTCGAGCAGAAATTCAGAGTGCCTTCATTTGAAGACGATGATGTTAAACAAACTCATCATCACTCCCATTTCACAACCACAAAATCAAGCAAATTTGTGCCCTCAATCTCAACAAAACAAAACTCCAATCATTACCCATCTAAAACAAACAAGAAGAGAAAATGATTAAATCCTCAGCTTTCTCTCTCTAAGTTTCTCTCTCTCTCTCTCTCTCTGTGGATATGCAGAGAGGGCGCCAAGGATATAACATAAACAAAACAAGGCAGACGAGGAGGTAGGCATGTCTGGTTTTAGCTTTATAAAATATTAAAATGTGGATTAAACACAAATATCCTACACAAATATAAATAAATCAAAGGATAAATTATTAATATGTTTTAATAGTTGGAATTAATTTTTATTAAAAATAAATCTTAGTAAAATTATTGTTTAAAATAATTTTTTTGTAATGATTTTTTGCATGTTTCTAAAATTAATAATTAGTACTTTTTTTTGTCACGATTTTTATAAATTATCGTTAAAACTTATAATTAGTAATTTTTTTTGCGACAAATTTTTTAAACTGTCGCTGAAAGTTAAAACTTAAGTTTCGTTTGTTCTAGATTTTTGGTTAAAAAATACAAAAGACAAAATTGATTACATAAGCTAATAAAACAAAAATGTCATATTCAAACCATAATCATTATATTTTTTCTCTCACAAAAATTAAAAAAATAAAAATAAAAAAACTAAACCAAACAAAACAAAGCTAAAAAAGTCCCAACACAGAAAAATCAGCCAAAAAAGTGAATGCCAAACGAAGAGTTATGTCTGGCAATAGATTTTTTGCTAAAAAAAATACAAAAGACAAAGTTGACTCCATAAACTAATAAGCCAAATGTCACATCCAAATTATAATTGGTACACTTTTCTCTCACAAAAGTCAAAAAAAATCAAAAATCAAAATCAAACAATGCTAAAAAAACTAGGCCAAAATAACCAAAAAGTCAAAAAATCAGACTATTTTAACTCTTCTCAAACGAAGGCTATGCCTATTTTGGGAAGTGGGTTAAAAGCCATTTTCTAACTTTTAACACACTTCCCTCTCTCACAAAAAAATCAAAAAATAGCTTTTAACCATTTTTTTAAGGGCAAATTACAATACCCCTCAAGATTTGACTAAAATACGAATTCCCCTTGAAGTTTGGGAAATTACAAATTGCCCTCTGAGATTTATATTTGCATAACAAATGAGGGGCAATTTGTTATGCAAATATAAATCTCATGGGACAATTTGTTATGAAAATATAAACTTCAGGGAGCGTGATGTAATTTCTCAAACCTCAAGGAGAATCCATATTTTAGTCAAACTCTACTTTTTAAAAGTATCACTAAAATTTATAATTAACAACATTTTTTGTGACAAAATTTTTAAACAGTTACTAAAATTCAATAATTTATTACATTTTTTAATAAATTTTGATAAAAATAATTATTATTTTTTATAAAATCTATTAAATAATAAATCTATCTATTAAAATTTACACTTAAATACTCTAAATAAAGGAAGTGGATCGGATGGTGGAGAGGGTTTGACACTAGGGGTAATCGGAAAGTGTAGATAGATTGGTTGGTGATGAGGTGTGTGAAGATGTGATTGTCCGTGATCAACGGTGTTTATGCGAATTTTTGTCTTCGCGGGCTTTTTTTGTTGTTGAACGTGCGAGGCGCGGTGGAGGCCTCTAGGGGCCCAGTCCCAAACATCGTCGGCGAAATCATGGGGAAGCACTAAGTGCGTACGTTTACCCTCGGAAAAACCTAAAAACCCTTTAAAAAAAAATTGTAAAACTTCTTAACGGTTCTTGGATTTTCTCAGAACCGAACCAATCCGGACCGTGTACACCCCTAGAAAAACCTAAAAACCCTTTAAAAAAAATTGTAAAACTTCTTAAAACATGTTTCCTAATTTTACACAATGGCTAATTATTTCATATTTCATTGATTTAAAAATTAATCATTTAAATACGTTTTAAGATTCTCTAACACTTCTTTTTATAAGAAGATTAGGAATTCAGAATTACTATCTAGATTTTTTATATTGTAAAATAAAAATTAAATGATGTATAATTGTAGAATCAATACGTAAAATACTCGATCATATAGCGATATTTTTTAATAATTTTTTAATAAAATTTCTAGATTTTTGGTATTATGTATTTTTTTTTATTCTCTTTGGTTTTCCCTCGAGTTCACAAAGATTTTGTGATAATTGTATTCTAGATAGTATGAATTTTACTGTTTAAACTAATAAAAATAAAGTTTGAATACCACGTAATTATAAACGAATACAAAAATTTTGTATACAATGATGTGAATAAATATGGACATTTTACTTTTAAATAAAACCTCTATAGAGATGATTTTTATTCATAATAATAATATTGTTATATCATTGTTGTGATATTTTTTTATATGAATTCTTTTGTATGACTACAAATTTTCTAAAGATTTTGTTATATAAAATAATTTCATATAATGTATAAAAATACGCATAATAAAAAATATATAATTAATTTAAATTTTATTAATCAGTAATGCCTTAGATACTCATTAATCAAACCTTTTTTCTAATATAATTATGTCGTAATTTTAAATGTATCATGCTATAATTGTAAGAATTTAAATCCTCTCAAATTGAACATCCAACTTAGTGGGTCGATAATTATAATTTTAAGAATAATTTTTTTAATATAAATATAATTCAATTATATAATTACAGATATTCGATCATGTAAATTTTTTACATAAATATCTTAATCAATAAATTTTTAAAAATAAATGATTTAAATTACTCAAATCAACCGAAATTGATCCATGTCAAACCTAAACTGTTTTCTCAAATATCTCTCAGGGAGATAATCCAAACCTCAATTGTAAACTAGGCATAATTTTAAAGAGTAACACTAGATATTCTAAATAATTTATTAAATATTTTATCAAATTTCTCATACGAATATGAAACCTACACACATGTAAGTTTGTGTGGGTCTCACACTATGACAGATTTGGTAAAATATTTAGTAGATTATTTGAGATACCTAGTATTTCTAATCTTAAATTCGGACAGGCAGTTTCACCCCTAAAATAAACGCACCTCATCTATAAGGAAAATATTATAAGTCATAAATTTTTTGTTAAATAAATAATTAAATATTTTACATAAGTATGAGATTTACAAAAACATAAATTTCATACTTACATAAAATATTTAACCATTTATTTAATAAAAAATTTCATATCCTAACATTAGTCATATTAATTGTGTTTGGTTACATAGGGTGGACTAAGACTGATAGCTTTAATTAAGGGTTGAGGGCAGGGTCCACATTTGTCAGTGAGGGAGTACCTATAGAGCACATAGGAGGAGCTGACGAGGATCATGAGTCAAGTGTAGGTCATTCTTTTCTTTTTTCTTGGTACATCGGAAATGAAGGGGTAGGTCATTCACAAATTAGGATTGGTGTTGTGTTTTATAGATATATCACTGTATTGTTACGTTTTTTGAATTTATTTTAATAATTTCAATTATTTATAGTATAAAATATATTAAGTTTAAATTAATTAAACATGTATAAAAAAATAAATATTTAATATAATTTTAATAATTTTTTTAAATTATTATTCGACTTGATCATGAGATTATACTTATCTTATCAAAATATAATCCGGATAAATCTTCCGAAATGCGAAAACAAGGGTATTGTCACAACACCGGATCTGGTCAAGAGAGAGACAGAGAGAGAGAGCGCGTAAAAAGAATGGATATGTCTCTTGGCGTCTCAAGTCAATAGTTGAAGACTTCGGTGGAGAATGTAAACAATTTATTGTTGACTGTATGTACTAAACGGTCAATTAATTTGTTTGTCATAGTTGGTTTATTTAGCTCAAGTTTGGCATGATTGAAAAAAGATAAAAAGTCAAAAAGTCACTATCCTATTTAAGTCACATCATCTTATTTAAGTCACATCACCTCTCTAACACATCACTTCAAACTCAACCCAAACCCAACCCATATTTCATAAAAAGTTAAAAAGTGCACTTATTTAGTCTTCCCAAACTAGGCCTTATTTTAGTTTTTTTAATATATATTTTTATTTTAAAATTTTGGATTAAATTTTTTTTTGGGTACTTTTTAAACTTGTTTAAAAGATTTTTAAAATGAATTTATAAAAATATATTTTTTTTGAAAAAAAGTCCATGACAAACTTAAAAAATAAAAAGCTTAGCTTAAAGTTGAAAATGGAAAAAAAAAAATCATCAAATACAAAGATAAACTAATAAACTAAAAAACTTAAATAATTTGCAGTAAAAGAAAGATACGCAACTATCTTTTGATGTGATATATGCTTTGAGTTTTTTTGAAAACATAATTAAAAGTTGATTTTTTTTTTAAAAAAAAATGTGTAAAAATGTAAGAGATGATGTAAATTAGAATAAATTAAAAGTTAATTTTTGATTTTTAACTGACTTCTCAAAACAAGCCTTAGTTTAGTTGGGAAGAAAATATTTTCTTCATATTTTTTGCAATGAAAAATAAAAAGTAAAAAAGAAATATTTTGTATAATCATCAAAAAAAATGAGCTTATTTTTGTAAAAAATTATTTTTCAGATTAAAATCTTATTAATGTGATCTTCTTTATGGCTAATGCTAATAAATTGTCCATGACTCAAAAAAAAAAAAAAAAAATTGCTAACAATTGTCCTTGCAACACTTGATAAGATGCATTTAACAGTGTATTAATTTATGAAAAATGATTTATCTACGCAATTGCTCCCCCCTCTCCCAAACCCTTTAAAATGATGTGGCAAGCCAAATTTGAAGAGTTCACCGCCATTCCAAAAATTTTTCAAATAGTTCTAATGAGTAGCTCGAAACTTGGCTACCTCAAATGGCTCGAATATGCAAAATGCCGTCATTTTGATTTTTTTTTTTTTTTTCCTTCTTCATCTTCCTTCCTTCCTTCCTTCCTTCCTCCCTCTTCTCTTTTCTCTCAACATTTGAGAATCTCACTCTAACAAACAAAATCAAAACCTCCTTCATCTTTTTCTTCCTCTATTTTCTCTCTCTAAAAATTACCAAACCCCCCACAAAATTGAAGCAAACCCACTCTTTCTCTAAAAACTATCAAACCCACCACAAAATTGAAGCTTTTCTTCAGCTTTCTCTTCTTCTTCTTCTTCCTCTTTCACCAACATAATTTCTTCAACCCATCACATGAAGAGAGAAAGAGA